ATTCTGTGATTCTGTGAGGATGTTGAACAAGTCACCTTCTACATGCTGCCTATTAATTTGTATGATATTTGCATAGTAGACATTTGATGCAGTTCAATAATACCAGACTCTCTCTAGCTAGTCTCTTTTGAAATATAATATTAATAACAGATTCTCAATTCAAGTGTCAAGTAATACAATTAAATATGGAGGGGTTTCTGATGTATCCAGAAGATGGAGATATTGACAAATAATTATCATTATCACTTGATATATCAGTTCCCTCCATTGACATACGGCCTTTGTGCTCTCAGTCTTCATGTCTTATCCTGTAAGTTTCATATTAAGATGTCTTAAATCTCAATAAAGTCAGGAAAGGAATAACTCAAACTATAATTAGTTTCTATGAATCAAAGGCTCATTTGTGTTTGAAAGTGATTTGCAATGACCCTGTTCTTAATCTTTTATGCCACTTCAAAGCAGCACAGAGTTCTCAGTAACTTTACTTCCAAAATATTAGGTACTTCCAGTATGAGGTACATCCATGGAACATGTTCAACCAACCACTTGCCCCAATAATCTCTACTCAATTCATTATCTTTGCTGTTCTAGTTATTGGTATTTTTTTCTTGCTGCTCTTTATTCTTTTTTTTTTTTTTAATTATTAAGGTGAATAATTTAGCTGTTCTGATAGTACAGAAAGAATACGGTACAACAATAGAGAAGGCTTTTACTGATAATACCCACTGCAGATACTGCTTGTAGATTTTCAGACTGCAAGAGATCACCAATTTTCCAGCTTCTGCTGTCAGGAACTGATGTTCTTATGGTCCCTTACCATATTGGTTCTTAAGAATGCAATAACAAAGCACACTAGATGTTGCCCTTCCTATACAGTGTACATGCAGCATCAGACACTGCCCAAGGAGGTACGCAGAGGAATTAGACCATCCTGATCCATCTTTAGGCAGAAATTCCTCATCCTGCTTGTTGAATCTCAACCTGCTCTCCTTCCTTGTGGGCTTTTTTGGTATTTTCTGTACTGACTATTGGTTGATAGATGCACTTTAAAATTCTTTTTCAAGACCTAGGCATTTCATAAATGAAATCAACTAATCTGAGTGGATGCAAAGGTTTGGGTCAGAGTGCACTGCACTCCTCTCTAGTGTGAATACAGAGGCTAGCAGAGCTTCCAGAAATTTAGTTCCTTGGCCCCTCTGTGAAACTTTCCACAGAAAAGCTGATGTAGGCTGAGTATGGGAGTGATGGTCTGTTGTTAATTTTTCATACCTGTTAGTAGCTAGGTGGGGGCCCAGGCAAAATGAGTTATGTGTATTAGTTACTTGCAGGTTAGATTCCTCCTCCCACTGTTGACAGCCATCTGCCCTAGGCAGGGGCTGCAACCCTGCTACCAGTTAATTATGTTGCTCATCATTATGGGGGGGGTTCATTCTTCTCTCTGCTTTTCCCTGTCTCTTAATGTCAGTGTCAACCTTGTCTCCTCTCTTCCCAGGTGTGCCAATGCTGTTTGTTATCCTCTGGGGAACTGTCAAGTACCTTTATGAAGATGAGGGGTTGGTTTAGTTCTGATTTTTCTAGTTATCTCATTTGTGCTGTTTGTGTGCACCAGCAGGTCATTGTTTGCTTTCTGTTCAGTGTGGTTTGCTTTGGCAGTGTGCTGAAACCTCACATAATTGCTTCTGTTTTGTCTGAAGGTCTTGCATAACATTTCAGAAAGGAGCATATGTTTCTTTCTGATCAGAATTTTCTGCATGTCTGAATGAATCTGTCCTTTTGCAGGTCAAGGAAAGGTATGTTTTGTTTTTCTGTAGTTACAGTATCAACAATAGAAGTCATCATACCCAACCAAGACCAGTCCTGCTACTGTGCCTTTGGCAGTAGCCTTTACAGTTATGCTTCAGAGGAAGGCAAAAACCTCCCACAGGATTCTGCCTGCGATTTGTAGTGGTTAGCTTATGCCTAGCAGCAGAGATGCGATTGTCTGTTCTTGTTTAAGCTTCCATTATTTAGGTCTTCTTAAAATAAAGGTACATTCTCTGTCTGCTTACATTAGTCTTGCTGAAGTCAACTACACCACATGCAAGACTGCTGCAAAACACAAAATGCATTTCATCCACTTTTACCATAGTGGCTGTTCTGAAAAATTGCCTTTATATATGCTTTATGTACCAAATAACACTGTAGTTTGTTGTTTGTGGGGTTTTTGTGGTTTTGTTTTTTTGGGGTTTTTTTTGTTTTGTTTTGTGGGGTTTTGTTGTTGTTGTTTTTTAAAAAGGAGGAAAGTTAAAAAACTTCCTCCTCTTAGTGACAGTGACTGTCTGGAAATATTTGGGTAGCTTTCTTTCTGATGAAATAAATCACTTTATGCCATTTCCTTTTTATTCTATATGTACTATTTATTGGGTCTTCCTCTTAGTTTCCAAACAACCCAATGAACAATTTTTTAGAGGGTCTTTCCCTGTCCCGATACAATCCTTGCTGGAGAGATGCTGCAGTGCAAAAATTCAGTGAAGTCAGAGCCACCTGCAGACTTTTTTCTGGTGTTCATATTAAGAACTGGCCTTTTTTTAGTGTCTTTTGTAGTACTGAGCTACTTCAGTCAAAGGTGCCTTTTCTGGCCTAAGCAATGCTAGAGTTTTCTGACTTTCCTTTTCAAGGTTGACTTCATAATATTCTGTAGCAAGATTGTGGCCATACTGATGTATTGCAAGTTTTATTGAAATAATCAGAATAGGTATAGAGAACATGCAGCCTCTGAGCAGGCGATGTTTGTGGGCATATCTTCCCAGTGATGTAGAAAATGTATTCAAAGTGTTCATGCTGAGCCCCCTACATTATGCGGTGCTCAGAGCTGATTTACGTTTTCTATTAAGGAAAACTGTCACTCACTGCCTTCAGCAGACCTTAAAGGGGGCAATTTTGCACTTTATTGAATTTTCTAAATCTTGTATAAATATTTGTAAAATACAACAATAAATAACCACGTGCAGCAGCTTCTCTGAAAGGCAAGATTTCTGTGCCTTGGGCAGGCATTTGCTGGAGCAGCCAGGGATATTTTCATCCTGTTTGCCATAGCACTGTCACCATGGATGTGCAGCAGGCTGTACATTTCTTTTGTGACTTAACTACTTCCCTGGCCATGAGGAATAACTGGAAGTAAATGTGGTCAGGGCTGGGAATTTGAGGCAGTCCTGTGAATGTAGCCGTTTGAGTGAAGGACAGAAGCCTGCAAGACTTACTTGTAGGCTGGCTTCTTCTTTCCTTACATGTGCAAGTGTAAACTCCTTTAGAAAGCAGTTGCTGTTTTAAAAAGTGAGCTATTGAAAAAGACTGTCTAGATTACAAATAAAATTAAAGGCAAGCTGTTCATCTTAGTTATTAGACTGTGCTAAAGGGTTGATACTTACACATCTTTGGTTTTGTCTGCAATTAATTATGGGAGCAAGGTAGCCAGCCTACAGTCTTTTTAAAAATGGAGCCATTCAGCTGTACCTCTTTAAGGTAAAAATTCAGTGTTTTCATTTTTAGAAAAAGAAGACCAAATTGGTAAGCACAGGGAGAAACTTCCCAGTAGCATTTATTTCACTAGACCAATTGTCCATTCAGAGCTCTGAGGCTATTAGTTGCCAAGCATCTTCTGAGTGGTGCTGAGCAAATGCCAGGGATAGATCACAAACACAATAGATGTCAGTGTATTTATCAGTGTGACAATCCCAGAAAGCACAGATGGACAAGAAATCATGTACAGATCTATCAATTTTCTTTTCTGGACACTTTAATAGCTGTGACACTTTTATTGGGCTGTAATGGCATTTTTATTGCACATATTTGTATAAATTTAAAAGTAGCTAAAACTGCTCTGTGCCACAGTAAGCAAATTAATACACACAGAAATGTAGCAGAGTTAATGTAAAGAATAATTTCTCAGCCTCCATCATTATCAGGAAATTTTAAAATTGCCTCTGCTTCCACTGCAGCTAGTCAGAAAATTAGAACTCCACTTCCAGCCATGCCTATTATCTCACTGGTCTTGAGGGGTTCCAATAAAATTAAAGGCTCCATGGAGCTGGCTCCCAGTCATGTGTACCAATTAAGAAGTAGTTCTGTTACTCATATTCCAGCTCAGGTACGCTGACTGCACACGGTATGTACACCGTTTTTTTCTCCAGTATCTAAAATACAATTGAATTGTAGGTTGTGGAGCTGCTGGTTGCAATGATATGTTTGTTACATGCATTAAACTGAAATTGAAAGAAAAAAATGAAATTCCAAGTCCTTCCTGGGCTTGTGGTACCTGCAAGGGAATATGGAACTGCCACAGCCAAGCTGCTTCACTTTCCTCTCTAGCAGGTGAGCGCACGTGGGTGTGGTGTTGTAGCATGGATCCCTACCACGTGCTGCACAGTTTGCTAGTTTCTCTCAAGTTGACTGTCCCATTACAAGGTTGTGGAGGGTTTGCTCTCCACCAACATCACCCAAGCTGAAGTTTCATAGGTCTGTTAAGAAACCTTAAGGAAAACTCAGCATATGTATGCTTTGGCAGATGAGATTTGGAGATGAAGATAAACTTGTTTTGTGAAGGAACCTATGTTTTCTGTAGTGCTGTTTCATAGTTTGTTTCACAGGCTGTATAGCTCAGAAACCTGCTGGCTTTATTGATGACTTGCTTTTGAGTAATGCTGAACAATGTGGCAGGAAGCTATCAAAGTTATTTCATAGAAATATTAAGTATGCTGTTGCTGCAGCAACAAGTGAAGTCATATGTGAACACTGTCCCAACACATATGGCTTATCATATAGTCAGGAGTGGCTGGCTGTGGCCAGGGTGGGACCTAAAATTACTAGATGTGCAAAGTCCCCAGTATAAAATTCACTTTGAACCAATGATGCCAAACTGTTGCTTGCAGGCATCACTTTTCTTGTGATTGTTCTCCAATATTGCTCAAGGACACAGGAATTTAAAAAGCTAAAATGAGACTTATGGTGAGAATGAAGTATTATATTGCCTGCAGCATGTTACTTACTTGGCAGAGGGCTCAGCTGGCCAACAAAAGTTGGGAACTATTGCTCCCATCTTTGGTTTTACTTGCTTATAATTTTTAAAACTCCCTTTGGGCCTGAAACCTGAAGGAACTGGAGTTTGCTGCCTTAATTGCTTTTTCTTGGTTAAAATTAGGAGGTCTTTTGAAAATAAGGACAAATAAAATAGATGACTGATCTAAATATTGGTATGATAAAAGACATGGTAGATAATGGGATAAAGAACTAACAAACAGTTAAATAATAATGACCTGACATTGGAGACTGAAGAGTAGTAAAAAATAATGCAGAAAGAGGAAGATAGGAACCACATAGGAAAGGCCTGACTCAGATTTCTCCACTTTTCCTTTCGGCCACATGAAAAGATTGACCTTGGTTTTAATAGAGTAAATCTTCACAATTAACTGATGATAATTCATAGCAAATTGTGGAGGAGAGCTAGCCATTAGTGGGTAAGAAAGGCCAGTGAGTAGTATCTAGTTGGATTATGATAGCTACAATAGTACAAAGCATTCAGTCTTTCTAAGAAGCAACTGCATCTGTTTCCATGTCAGCATGATGTGCTTTCCTGGTATCTAGTCCTCAGTATTGTTTTCCATCTGCATTGCTGTGACAGAATGAAAAGCAGGGGATTTTAGTAATGTAGTGAAACTTTTTCTTCTTTTCTCCTTTTTTTTTTTTTTTTTTCTGCCATCTTCCTAGTTGCTGGACCAGAAACTATAACATGAATTACTGGCTGATCATCAGACTACCCATTCTCATCGCCATTGGGGTGAGTATGGGGCGCATGCAGCAAGCTGGCAGATTTCCACGAGAACAGGACATGATATAGTACAAAGGATAGATGTGTACATGGCTGTTGTGCTTGTCCAAAGGCTAATAACCTTTGAGGGTATTGACATTTTCATTCAGAAATGTGATTTTTATGAAACCAAATTTGTTTTTGTCACTGGAATTCCAAACTAGCATTTTGTTTGTTTAATTTGGCCACATGCTGCCATGTTGTAGTGGCAGCACGGGATAACGAAACAGCATGCCACAGCAATCCAGTTAACTCCACTGTGTGCAGAAAGCTATGGCAGAGGTAGTACAGGGGGGGTAGAAGATAATATTCCAGGTACTTAGTTACAAAATAGCAACAAATTGTGTGGCATTGTGGAGAAATGCCATGTTTCGCAGCCACAATACTGTGTCAGTCTCAGACCTCCAGACAAGGCAAATGGGACAGCCCACACCTTTGCTGTGTCTCACTTCCCAGAGATGTAGGTAAGCTCCCCTGCTTTGTTTAGTGAACCGCCTGCATTTTCAAAGGTGGCTTGTGCATTCACAAGAACATGTATTTAGAGCACAATTCCTTAGCAAGGAGTTGAATTCTGTAACAAATTCTGCAGCTACAGAATAGCAGGATGCAGTAGCAGGGACCTACACATGCATACACAAACCAGCTTTTTTGAACACTTATGCACATGCTTTTCTTGATGATGATATAAATCCTTCTTTCATTTCTCCAGGTAAATTTCCTGATCTTTATCAGAGTTATATGCATCATCATCTCCAAACTACAGGCTAATTTGATGTGCAAAACTGACATAAAATGCAGGTATGTCATATGGTGGTTTGACACTTTTAATGCCCATCAAAATGGAAGCAGACAAGGAGGTACATGAAAGGAGTGGATTGACAAAGGTGGTTAAAGATCACAGACCTTGAGTAATGCACAGCTGTGGTGTCATATGTTGGTATGACTGCTTGGACAGTCAGTCCCCAGAAGAGCCTCCTGGTGAACCCAGGGCAGGTGTTACACCTGTGTTATAGATAACAGAAGGCTTGATCTCAGGGTTTGTCACTTTACGGTCTTCCATAATACTGGATGAATATTAATTAAGCAGATATTTTTTAAATACTTGCAGCATATGCAAGTGCTGGATGCTAAGGTCCTTGAATGCATCCAGAGAAGGGCAACAAAGCTGGTGAGAGGGCTGGAAGGAATATTCTATGAGGAGCAGCTAAGGACTTTGGGCTTGTCTGTTTTGGAGAAAAGGAGGCTGAGAGGCAACCTCATTGCTCTCTACAGCTTCTTGAGGAGAGGAAGTGGAGAGGGAGGTGCTGAGCTCTTCTCTCTGGTATCCAGTGATAGGATGCACAGGAATAGTTTAAAGGCATGCCAGGGGAGGTTTAGACTGGACATGAGGAAGCACTTATTTACTGAGAGGGTGGTCAAACACTGGAAGAGGTTTCCTAAAGAGGTGGTCAGTGCCTCAGACCTTATAAACAGGTCAGTGTTTAAGAAGCACTTGGTCAAAGCCCTTAATAACATGCTTTTAGGTTTTGGTCAGCCCTGAAGTGGTCAGGCAGTTGCAGCAGATGATCATTGTAGGTCCCTTCCAACTGAAATATTCTATTCTATCCTATTCTAATTTGAAAAAAATAATATGAGTGATAGAAAGAAAAACTTTAACTTCAGTGAAGATCAAGACAGGTAATTTTGAGTATTGCTCCTTGTTCTTCTTGCCACTTGTTACTGGGACAAACTTTCCATCTTGAATGCGTAGGATGTTTCAAGAGAGATGTCAGGGTTATCACAGGAATGTTCAATTTTTATTTTGCAGGCTTTGCCCTGTCTGTGTCTGTATTCTTCCTGTTATTTAATCACCTTGCTAAGATTCATGGTCACATCCTTCATTTCTGCATCTTGGAGAATACTTTTGTATTGCAGTCTGAAAAATAATGTAGAGATAACAAGTTAGCTATTGAATTAACCAGTGTGGAGCTACATGCTGTGGTAGCTGGACTGCTCCTGGTGGTTGACTTAGCTAGTTTGAAGTTGGGTATTTCAGTGCTGCAGTCTTCTAAGCTAGACACTGCATGCATTTTGGTGCATTCTCATCAGGGTATAGAGTTGCCCTGCATATTACCTACCTTCTTTACCTCACATGAAATTTTGGAAATCCTAATACACATTTAGAACTCAAAGCAGAGAAAAGGACTTGTTTGAATAAGCTGTAGGCTTTGCTTTCATGGCTATTGTTTTCTTGAATATATGTGACCTTTATTTGCCAGGGTAAAACTTGCAATGGTGGAAGGGAGGGATTTTCCAGTTTTGATGGCTTGAAGCCATTTAAAATTCAGACTCTAAATTTACCCTGTCAAGGGAGAAAGCCCTTGCCCTCATGACTCCTGCAAGCAGCAGGAAGGTTTGATGCAGGTGGAACATTTCTCAGAGGTGCGTGTTCATTCATGTCTTCATGTTGCATGTTCAAAAATCTGCTGTGTAGACAGAAAGGCTTTATCAGAAAAGGATTTACCCAGCAACAGAGCCTTCTTCACTGGTGAAGACTATAGTCTTGGTGGTCCATCCAGAGGTTGGTGGTTATAACCAGAAGCTTTAGGGGAAGTCTTTTACCCAAAAGAGTTCAGTTCATTGGTATGCTTCTGAGGACCAGTACTCAAAGATTCCTGTATCAGAATTTCCACCCCTCCGCCTTCTTTTCTGCTCAAAAGACACTGGAAAAGATCTGGGGTGGAGGGAAGGCAGAACTGCTATGTTGGAATGTTATTTTAAACAATGACCAGTCTAGCTGCCATAGAAGGTCACTAGTTTAGATACATTTGTGTATAGAAAGGAGAAAAGTGTTTTGCTCTTTGGACAATCTTTCCTTCACCTCTCTCCTGTTGTCCATTAATTTGATGAAGAGAGAGAAATCACTGTTCAGTATGGCAGCAAATCCATTTTCTCTGCAGAACGACTGGAATTGGGGAGAAGCTTCTTTCCTTGCTTAGGGAAAAGATTTTCTTTAGGGAGGTCTTAATTAGCCAGGAAGCTTTTTCATAGGACTCTGCATGGCTTCCTGTTTAAGGCAGAGCTCTCCAAGTGTTCCATCTAGAACAATTAACATTCATTAAATAACCTAGGGGATTGCTGTACACCTACACAACTCCCTTTTTTTACCCAGGCAGTGTCTCCAGAGCCAAGTCATCATCAGCCTCCCACTTCTACCTCTATCTCAGGCAGGTGGTGGTGGAGCAGAGCCTCCATCACAAGACTTGCTGGTAAGCTGCTTATTTAAATAATCTCCCCTATCCACGAATACAATGGTCTGCCTAGGTCCACTACAGATCTGCACTTCTGCTTACCTGTATATGTAAACTGTTTCATTTCAATAGGTCCTTTGATTCACCACCCTCCTTGTGCATCAAGGACATTGGCAGGCCAGTGGATGGGCTGACAGGAGCCTTGCACTTGGTGTGTAATAACCCCATGCAGTAGTACAGGATGGGCACTGACTGGGGAGAAAGCAACTCTGCAGAAGATCCAGGGATGCTGGAGGACAACAGGTTGAACATGATTCAGCAGTGTGCCCTTGTGACAGCGTAGGCTGACTACATACTGGGCTACACTAGCATGAGCATAGCCAGAAGGTCAAGGGAAGTGACCGATCCACTCCATTCAGGACTTGTGAGACTGCTTCTGGTGTCCAGGTTGAGGCTCCCCAGTAAAGAAAGACACTGTGTCCTGTTCCTCCAACCCCATGGGACTTGCATCAGTTTTGCACCAAACTAGTTCAGGGGCTGGACCAGGTGACATAGAAGGAGGTGCCGAAAACTACGTTTATTTAGTCTGGTGAACAGAAGACTAAGCAAGGATTTAATTGCAGTCTTCAGTTACCTAATGGTGGTTATACAGAAGATAGAGCTGGAGTCTTTTCAGATGTGAGCAGTAAAAGGACAAGGGGCAGAGGTCACAAGTAATAAGGGAAATTCCAATTGCATGTCAGAGGTGAAAAAAAATTCACAGTGAGAGTGGTCTGATGCTGGAAGAGAGGGCTAGAGAGGCTGTAGGGGACCTTGGAGATATTCAGAACTTGGCTGGACACAGCCCTGGGTAACCTGCTGTGAACTGGAGTTGGACCAAAGACTTCCAGAGGTCCCTTCCAACCTGAATGGTTACATGATTCAGAATAACAGCCAACAGCCCTAGGGCACACAAGAGCTGCTAAGTACTGACAGCCCTGCTAGTTGAGTGATTTTTTTATCTACTAAATTGTCTCAAGACAGGTCATTGTGAGATGTTGATAGGTTCTGTGGCCCAGGATAGCCCTATAAACTCCTGTGTAAGACTCAGGCATTATCCTGTTCGGTGGCTAGCATGTACGTCTATCAAAAGAGAGTTAAGGCCCATTCTTGTGAATGATTTCATGTGGTTGTACCTCTGAGCGTTGCTCTCTCACAGATGAAAAATCACAGAATCATGTTTTATTTCAGGTTGGTTTGTCTTTTTTCCTTTGCTAGCTATGTCTTTGAACTTGCCAATTAAATAATAGAGTCATCACTCACTTTAAGTCAGTTTAACTGCTTTTACGAAGTGTTCTGCAGTTACCGTTAGTTACGACGTTTTGAAGATTTAGCACACCACAGAGGTGGGAAGGTATAGCAAGTACTCCTCCCTTTGACAAGATCTTCTAAAAAAATTCCTATTATTGATAGATTATTTCTTTCAGGCCATGAACAAGGTAGGTTTTGATAATCTCTCCCACTTACAGATGGGGAAAAGGATACACAAGAAGGACATCTCAGGTACAAGAAAGCACGTGGCCTTCTGAGTTTAGAAGATTTTCCATGTGAAATACAGCAAATAGCTGAATACAGAGCTTTGCTCTTAGCAGGAAGTGGTCTACAGTGGAGTGGCAGGGGCAGTTAAAACATGTTGCTACCTACTAAGGTTATTTGGAGGATTATTTTTTTATCTGCAGCCTCTGGAGGAGGATTCTGTGGCACAAAGTGGTGGAATGACTTATGGAAGTTGGCAGTGTGTCAGAAGCAGAATGCAGAAACAGTGACTCCCAGTGATCATTTTGATCAAAAATTATCTACTCAATGGCATTGTTTTTTTTTCTTTTTTTTTGTGATCTTAGGCTGGCCAAGTCTACGTTGACTCTGATCCCACTGCTGGGGACCCATGAAGTCATTTTTGCCTTTATTACTGATGAGCATGCCAGAGGGATGCTGCGCTTTGTGAAGCTTTTTACTGAACTCTCCTTTGCTTCTTTCCAGGTAGCACTCACACTGTGCCCATGTGGATAAGAAATTTTTTAACTGCTGTTTGGGGACCTGCTTTCTCTCTCATTCATTGCATGTTCCCTGTTCTTTATATTTCCCAATTTAACACTAGATTTTACAGGATCATGACAGTGGAAGGGAAAGAATGAGGACTAATTTTTAATAGCTGACTTAGCTGTTAGCGTCACTTACTCTTATTTTCAATGTCTTAAATTTACCACAATAAACTGGTATTCGTATCCATGTATTAATATCTACTTCCTATGGGACACCTCAAGGCAATAATGAAATTGTCTGTGATTTCTTGTAATTGTATAATGGCATTACTGAAAGCAAATTTTGTGCTCTCTCCAGTGTTTTTCATACTCCTTGGAAAATGTGCTGTGAGAGGTAACTGTCTACAGCTGTAACTGCATGGGAGGAGGATGTAGATTTACTGTGATTTTTATTTAGCTATTGTGTTAGGTAAGGCCATTTCAAAAGAGTCTTCTTGTCTAAGGGAATCGTTATTCTTTGTGTTTCCCTACTCATTCATTCCCTGTTCATCAATCACAGAGCTGTATTTAAGATCGCTGTGAATTGTTCACTTATGAAATATTTATAACTTGAAACCAGGTAAGGAAAAAGATTGAGAAAAGAATTTTTAGAAAACATAACAGGTTGAAGAAAACATTAACTCCTTTTTTCCTAAGATCGTGTGGTTTAAGACATAGTTTGGTCAAACCTCTCCTCTGCCATCAGAGCTGAGAGGGACCACAGACTGTCTCCATCTTTCAGTCTTATATGGGACATGCCAGTGTGGAGCCTCTAGCACTCTCCAGGTTTGTTTGGTAAAGTGAAGGAACTGCTCTTCTCACTGTTCTTCTGTTTTTTGTTGATTTCAGGGGCTGATGGTTGCAATTCTCTACTGTTTCATCAATAATGAGGTAAGAGAAACACTTAGTTGTTCCAGTTTGCCTTATCAGCATCCACTATAGGAAAAGGAAATTGAAAATGGTCTTGAACTGCTAAATTGTCTTTGTTCAGGACTTTTACTTTGTTTACAGACCTTCCTCCATACAGCTACACAGAATAACTCTTCAGACAAATGTTGTTGGAAGGAATTCGGGCAGTGTAATTTAGGGCCACTATTTGTAGGCAATTATGTTGTCTTGCTCACAATTGTATAGTTTGTACTGCTGGAGCTTTTCTTTTATTAAGAATTATAGCTGCTCTTCTTAATCTGTGTTATAGTGCTTTTTATTTGCTTGTTTTGGTGAATGTGGGAGTGGAGCCCATTTTATTCTGAGAACTCGGCTCAGCTGGCTGGTGGTAAGGTTGGAGAATCCTCTTGGCTAATGCTGGACAGTTTGGTTTCATTTGGTTACCCTCTGGCCCAGCTACTTGAAGACATCATCATGCTGTCATTCAAACTGAACTTCATGGAGTGGTGAGCTCTGCCACAGGCCCAGAAGAAATGTAGCCAGGGTTTAATTGATTGCAGGTACCATCTTCTGTGGTGTCTGCTGAATCCCAGACCTTTTGGGGGAAAGAGCATTGTTCAGTTTCAGTGTTGCAGGAACTCTCATGTTACCTTCTAAATCATTATTATCATTATTATTCATTCAGCAGCCAGGTTTGCAAGGGAAGCAAACAGTGCTAATTTGGCAGCACATTATTAAGATTAATGCACATCAATGTTTTTCACACTCATGCTAAATCTACTTTTAAACATGACATGGTAATTCAAGATCACCTACTGAGAGATAGGCCTCATCAAGGAATTGGAATAAATGGAAAAATGTTCTGTTAGTGTCGTTATGGCCAAGGTGGAGTCAACAGAAAAGCAGCAGGCACCCTGAATTAAGCCCTGCAGGAGACTGTTCACTTTTGTAGCTTGTGGGTAAGATTTTGTTCAAGTGAATGTGTTAATTCTGCTGCTTAAAAAAGTCAGAGGTGGGTAGCAGCAGGCTTTGCTCAGGCATGAATTAGAGAATATTTGTTTCAAATCCCTTGTACAGCTTTACAGGTGTACTTTAATCCTGAAATGCAGCACTGTCTGCTGGTGCATCATGTATTTCCTTTGATTCACTTTGGCCTTTGTTCATACATCCCCTGTGCAGCTGCAGCCAGGCCTGTCATGAGTAATGCCCAGTAATTTCCTCTGTGTGATAACAAGGGCAAAGTTACATTATAGCCCAAACTTTATTACAACCCTGAAACAGGTAGGCTTGTTTTGTTTGAAGGAACTTACTGTGAAGTAGCCTACCAACATTTCTAAGAGGTTCTCCAAATCTCTTGTTGCTGTGGTTCTCTTGCCTTTGTAATATAAATTCAATAAATTCTTAAAATCTAACCACAATGTGCTCAGCTTCACAGAAAGCTGACAGATAGTCTAGAATAAATTATTTGGCTTGTTCCAATTCTTATTAAAAGAAGGGAGAAGGGTTTTGTCAAGCCCAGTCATCAGCATCCATAAAATAAATCCATGTAAAGAGTTTGATTCGGTCAAGTCTCTTCTATTTCTTTCCTAAACTATATGATAATTTTTTGCTAAACTAAAGGAGAAATTGTTTTTCTTCTGACAGACTATATGTGCCTGAAGGCTATCCTAGTTTGCAGTATGGTCTATATTTTTATTTTTGTCTGTCACTCATTGACTCCTTTCCTTTTTCCTTAGCCATACAGAATGAAAGTTTTTTGCAAGTCCTGGTGTCAGATCAAGAGTAGAAATGAAGCTAGAAGTGATACTCATGTCCTTTTTTTTAAGATCTACTTATGAAAAAACATTAAATATATTCATATTTCAGTCATATTTCACCTGAAAGAGTCTGGATTTTCTCTGATATTACTTTGAAACCAACAGCAGGGTCTCATCAGACTGCCTGTTATCACCAATGTTCTTTGCAAAATGAGCTGGGCTTAATATGACCAGTTTTTCTGCAGTTAAGGTTGCTTTCTATAAGAAATACTCTAAGCCACAGAGATGCTGCCTCTTTACACCAGAAATAGTTTAAGGTGGTTCAGGTTTAATTCTCTGTAGTCTTGCTTCTCCTTTTTGCCTCCTTCCTGTCACAGTGGCAGTACACTTCACTCTCTTCTACCTTAAAGAATCTATCCTGACTCCAGGACTCCTGAATTTTTTTAATTACTGCCCAGTCTTCCCTTTTCCTTCTCATTTCTTTTCATTCCCTATACAGACTTTCCATTGAACTCAATCAGCTCTATTCCATCCCATTTCAGACCTACTTCCCTTTCACTATGCTTTGTTGAGATGTTTTTTGTCAAAGTTTAACTTTTTTTTGTAATCAGATTTGATTCATTGCCACCTTCTCAACATTCTTGCCTATTAACTGCATTAAGGTCAATCAGCTGCTCTTTGTGAGAAGCCTTCTCCACCTTGAACCTCCACAACCATCTTTTCCAAGTTCTCATACCTCTTCCCTTTCTTTTTCAAAATACTCTACGTAAAAATTTTCCTTCTTCTCCTTTCTCATAAGAGCTTTGTTCTTGGTTCCCTTTTCCCTGTTTAGCTTATTTCTGGGGAATCTTATCCACACATGTGAGTTGGTAGGTTAATTATTTTGCTGAAAGGTCTGTAGATCTACTTCTGTGCTCAAGAATTTCCTCTCTACAAAATAAATCTTAACCTATTTCCTCGGTCATACATTCACAGCTGTCTAGAAAAAATGCAATTCAACATGGATAGCAGAGCTCCTCTTTACCCTTTTCCTAACCTCTGGAGAGAAAACTAATATTCTGTCATTCAGATCCATTCCTAAGACATAATCTCTGATATAGTCTTTTGTTCAGGTCTTCCCATTCACTTAATTTCAGTCTTGCAGGTTATTTGTATCATAGCTCTAGGATACAGCCTGTCATGTCTGGACAGATTTAAAACTCATTTTCTCCCTTTGACTGATTCTAAGATACCCATTTCTATTGCTTATTGACTTATTCTGTCAGTTAAGTACATTCACAGTTGCTTTCAAGATCTGCCTGTAAATGTCTACAACTGCTTTTTTCCCAGTGTTGCCTATTAAACCAGCTGTTTTCCATGCCCACAAAAGGTACCAAGTACTGGGGTGGCAATATGTCTTTTGCAGACAGCATGGTCCCTGCATTTCACTGCTTCCTTTTCTGTCTTTATCAGGCTGTTCTTCTGTATTCTTCTATGCCAACCCATCCCCGACACACTGTCTTTTTTCTGGTGTCTTTGTGCAGCTTTTGACACAATGACCCACAGTTACCACAGTAAAATACAAGCTTCTATCTCAGCATATTTCCTTCTGTCCCATTTGGTTGTGATACTGGAGGGGCAGATTCCATTGTCAGAAATGCAGAGATGCAGCTGGTTCCCATCAGGACAGTATTCCGTATAAGGGATGTAGCCCAGAGCTGACAAACACTGCTAGAGGTAACCACCAAGGAAAGGCAATTGGTCATGTAAGGCTTTGCTCCTTTTTTAGGGCTGCCTCCCAGATTCAGTATTTCACAGTGAACAAGCAGATATGATAGATATACAGGATGCCCAGGAAGTTTCCCTCAGAGTCTGAAGGTTTCAGCAGCCTGGGTATGATGATAAGCCTACGCTGGAACTGCCATCAACCTATTTAGTCTTTTGGTGGTCAGTACCCGCTAAAAGGAAACAAAAAGGAACTCTCCAGAGATAGTGAATTTATTCCAGGCTGAAGTACACACGATAATGGATTGATTACTGTAGTTGCACTCCTGCCTCTTACTAGAGTAAAAAAGGTTCAATTTTACGTCCTCTCCCTTATGCATTAAAAGCTAATGGAGGTTCTTACTTAAGTCAAATGGCAAGAACTTTGGCCATGGAACAGGAAGATCTAAATTCTGTTCTTGTTTACCAATTACAAGACCCTAGATAAACTTCCAAATGCATACAGAGGTTACACAGTTTATCCCAGAACCTGTGACTGGATGAGAGTATTTTGTAGCTTTAAAAAACCCTAGTATCTGGAATGAGATATTGTAATTGCTATTTAAAAAGGGCAGAAAAAGTACAGTCTTTAATGTGCTTAATTGTTGTTTTTTCAATCCTGAATACATCTTCATTTTTTGTATGGAATAAAAAACCTGTAAATATTCAAAGGACAAAAATTAGCCAAGACATAATACTGTTTAAATCAAACCAGAAGTTAAAACAGAATGCCTAAGAATACCTGTGGTGACGGTATTGAGCAGAAAGCCAGTCTTTTCAGTCATTTAATGGCTGATAAGCAAAATCAACTTAATTGTTAGCACTGGTAGGGCACAGAGTACATTCAATATTGCAGCTGAATACAATTTAAAATAAAATAATGAAGATAAGATTTCCTGGTGCATAAAAGAGTTTTATTTCTACAAGTAGAAGTCAATGCTGACATTATTTTAAATATGGAATACCCTACAATGGACTAACGAGATAACTGGATAATTTGAAGCAATAATATTGCAAGTTTAAAGCATTGCCAGCTTTTCTCAGTAGTATATCTTTATTTTTTTTCTTTGCTCTTTTCTAATAGATCTGGTTAGTTCTACAGTCATTCCTTTTGTTTCCTTCTTTTATTCTGTTAGGTTCAGATGGAGTTTCGGAAAAGCTGGGAGCGCTGGAGATTGGAACATTTGTATGTCCAGAGAGACAGCAGTATGAAACCTCTGAAGTGTCCGGCCAACAGCATCAGTAGCGGAGGCACGGTAGGCAGTAGTGTCTATGCTGCCACTTGTCAGGCCACATTCAGCTAAGATTTCTGCAGGTGAACCAGACTGAGAGCAATGAACTGTATAATATACCTGAAAACCCTTAAATACCCAAGCAAGTGGCTTAAGTATGCCATCTCCAGCAAGAAACAAGCTTATGCTGCTCATTGCCTGCAGGCTGTTGGACAAAGGTTTCTAGGGAAAGCAATCTGCTAATGTAATCAACACATCAGAGAAAAAATTGATCACGTCTAAAGTAAGTTAAAAGAGTTTCTTCCTATTTGCACACAAGGCCTCCAGGTGTCCAAAACTTAAGCATAGCATTGATCCAGTCTGAAACCACAGGGTCAATGGCTTATTACTGTTGAGTGGGCAAGCTGAGTGATCGACTGATTAAATTACAAGGATACTGAATATGATTATTGCAAAAAAAAAAACCAAAACACATTTAAACTTTTATGGGGATAGGGTAAGATGCTATTGCCAGTTTTATTAAAAAAGGACTTAGTGGGACACAACTTGCATTTTAGGGAAGAATCAGTTTTGTAGTAAGAGTTTTCCCAAAGCTAAAGTTGAAAATATGCTTGCTTACCTATTTTCTGGGTAGGAGAAGAACAGCATCCTGAAGGATCTACCAATACAGCAGGTAGCATGGTGTACACTTCTGAATGCTCTTTTTAAGCTTCACTTGAAAAAAAAAACAAAAACAAAACAAACAAACAACTCAACAAAAAACAAAACAAACAAAAAAAACCCCAAACAAACAAATCTGGTAGGGGCCTTTTCCGCTAGTAATAGGTGTGTGTTATGTCTATTGACATGGATGGAAATATCCCCTGAATGCACAGTCCTTCCTTCTTTATATAGTACCCTGCCTCTCCAGTTGGCATACAGGTGTTAACAGGGAAAGGACAATGACTTTTGCTTCAAGAGGACATTTTCTTTCTAAGCTATACTGTGCTTCTTGTGGGGGCAAACACACAAAAGTCAGCTTGTGGCCACAGCTGGTCTTAGCAGACCTCACCTACTTGGAAAAGATTCAGTATTTCACAGTGTGGGCTTGCTTTTGTTTCTCCTTCAGCCTTGTTCATGTTCTCCAGACACAACTGTCCTGGTTTTCAGCTGGGACAGAGCGAGGTTTCTTTTTTGTAGCAAGGTGTTGCACTCACATGGGTGCAGCACTGACATGGGCGCAGCACACAGGACAGCTCCCAGCTGACTCCTCCTCCACAGCCTGTCTGCCATCAGCAGGATTCAAAAATTCTCCGCAAACCCACCGTCCTAAACTCAACGGGCCTTTTGTCTGTTTGTTTAAAACTGCAAGGGCTCTTGCAGTGAATGCATTTACACTGCTCATTACATTCCTCTCCTGATGTTTACAAGAGTTGCTTGGGGAAAAACAGAGGTACCTTTACCAGCAGCACGTGATCCATTGCATCACTTAAATAACAAGCTTTATGTATCTTTATTCAGCTGTTACTTGGGCTCCCTTTACAACACAGGCAAAGTGCCATAGACTGGCTCTGAGAGTATCCCGGTCCACAGACTCCTTGTAGTAACTTCCATGGCACAGCAGTTAAACTACACAGCAGGGAGGAAAAAAACCCCAGTTCTCAAGTCTCTCTTTGCACTTGCGTTCACAAGTTGCGTTCACATTGCTAAGAAAGGGGACTGGATATTCTGGGATGTAATTCAACATCTTTCCTGCCTGAAGCTAGATTGCTTTGCATGAGATTATTTAATCATTGTATTAGAATCCAAATTGCCAACGGGGCGGATTAGTTTTGCAATCAGGTTAGAATTGAATTAGAGAGGATGGGTTACCTTTGTCTGCTATAATGCTTATAATTGAGCTCTGGGGGTGGGGAAGTCAGACATATTTGTAGAAATCCACCACAGTTCTCAGGCTGGCTTTTGTATGTTTAGTGTGCTGGCTTCTACAGGCCATTTCCTGGCCTTCCTTTCTTAACATCGGTTGCAGAGCTGACCTCGGAATGAAGCACCTTCAGTTTCATCTGTAAACTTAATAACTAGCTTCTACGTTGTGTGACCATCAGTACAATACCTGACTACTACATATGTATGTTAACTACTATCCTGCAATTTAATTAGTTAGCTTCCTGTACACAGAGAGTATGCTTGATGTTTCTATTTAACATCTACCCCTAAGTGCTTTGAATAGGAAAAGATTGATAAAGTTTAGTCACTGGTAGGTGAAAAGGCAGCACAATGACAGAAAATATTTACAGCTGTATGATGATGCACACTAGAGGGAATAATTTCACTCATGAATACTCAAGAGTGGGTGGTGGTTTTCCAGGGCCCCGCTTAGTTGTGTGCAAACCTGGAAAAAAGAAAGTTTCTACTACTTGCATGGCTCTTAGCAAGACAATAGTTTTGCTATGGAAAAAGGAAGTTATGGAAGTGTTTTAACTCAGTATTGTGCTGGGAAAAGTAGCAAATTAAAGAAGACAGAGTATATACATGTGTGGTAACGAACCTGCGCTTAGTTGCTGTCACAAGATTCTTTCAACAGTTTGACATGCTTTTTGAGTCACTAGGCTCTTCTTGTCCCTCCTAGTCACTCAAGAACTGAGGCTTTGGGCCCACAGGAATAGCTCCAGCACCAGATGTCAAGCTTACCAAGGTAACTTCTGCCTTGTTAGAATACAAGAGAAAAACAGTATGACAAAGTGAGATCTTAGCCAAGCAGAGGGTTGTGGTGGAATTTTTTTTTTCCTCTCTGATTAAGGTCTCACTTCTTCAACCTTTTTAAATTCCCTCTAAGTACTGAGGGAATAGCTCAGTGGAAGTAACTGCCACCAAAGCAGAATTACAGTACTTGTGTATTTTGAGAAATTTTTTTAGCAAAGCCTAAATACCAAATTTCTCCATCACACTTTATCTACTTCAGTGAAACCTTTTACAAGCCTTTGTTGTTATTCATGCAATCTCTATTTCAGAATTTATTGGAGTAGCATGAAATAATCAAGCCAACACAAAGCACTGGAACAGATGAACTGTCTGAATTTTTTTTTTGTGCCTTTCAGCTTCATACTCACTTATTGTGGTAACTTGTTTCATGAAGCATTAAATAGAAGAGTCTATAAATTCACCTGGACATAATGTAACCAGGTTTATAGCAAATGAAAAACTTATTTCCAGCATTGCTGCTATAAAGTTTTACAATTTCATGGATGTTACTTTGTATTTAATATTTATTTGCATGTATTTCCTTGTTTTAAAAACACTCACAGAATTGAACTGTACAAGATGTCAGATTATCAATTCCCCGTAAACACTATGCTAATGTTTATTTTTATCCTTGTGAATAAAGTTTCAAATTTCTGTCACTTAGTGGTGTATTTACTTTAAGTATCACCTGATCACTTCTTACTCTGTAATTAGAATACTTTTTAAGAGTGGAAAGACTCAGTTCATGGTTCTTCCAAGGAAATAAAGCTTTATTTCTACTGCTAAAAGGCCTTTGAACCTGCAGATGCCATGTTAATCAAAACCTAAATACAGCATGTTATCTGTATTGAGTTGGAAGGAATCAGTAAGAATACTGATAACTCTGAGGGGTTTTTTTACCAGAGGATGGTGGAATATGTGCAAATCCAGAAACTGTGTGCTTGGTTTTAAATAGCATTTGGTATTTATACAACAGACCAAAATAGAAGCTGGGAGATGCTTAGCACTGTTAAAACATATTACTTGTGCTTTAATCTATCATTCTCTTTCCAGTCCAATTAAATTCAAAACAACACTTCCTTTTGTTTCCCCAGCCAATGACAAAACTTGTGGTAAGTCAAGTGTGAACACTCTGTGTAACTGTTAAATTAGAAAAGGCATAATGGAACAGGATTTGAAAGACTTACTTGTGACTTTTCTTCTCAAATCAGTCCTCAGAGGCACAAATTCTATCAGCTGCTCTTCACTATGACTTAATAATTTGTTTTAATGCAATGATCTATATATTAAAAATAACAGTGGATCATACAAGAAGTACAGCTGACAGTCTGTGGGATGATGGTGAAACATCATCAGCTGTGCTGTGGTAGAAGGAGTGAATTCAATGACAGTACATCCCCGTCCATGTGAGGGCCTATTGCATTTCTACAGCTGCTGCACATTCCCCCCCTTTTTTTTTTTTTTTTTTCCAAAATGATGGTTAAAGAAAAACATGTATTACCTGCCAGAAGTACTAATAAATCTACAAATGATGAAAGCTGTAATATGGAGGGGATAATGGAACTTGCATCAAAATCATGTTTCTGTTTGATGAAACACAAGTGTGGACAGAAACAGCAGCCCATTTTAAGTGTACTGATAGTGCCTTGTGTCTTTTCGTCAGGAAGAGGATTGTAGCCAGTGCTGGGAAGAAAAGCAGTTGGCCTTCCTGCTAAAGGTGCTGGCACACACCTGCGTTCCCCTTACCAGAGGCAAAGGTCAGCGGGAGCTGAATTCACCAGCTGCAGCTGTCACCAG